ATTTATTTGATAATTAACTGTTGGTATCTTTCCTTGGGTTTGATCTCTGATCCCTGAAGGATATCTTTCCTTATCTCTTTTCTTTTCTAAGGTTTCTTAATTTTCTCCTTAACCCCAAAAAATTGAGTGGCGCCCTGTTTCTATCTTCTCTTATCTTTGGTAATTTTACCCATCTATCTTTTTGTTTATTTCTATATCTTTTCTAATATCTCTTATCCTATCTTTACTTATTTCGTCCGTTGGACCCAATCCCGGTTCCAAAAGCTAGTTTCGAACCCATGACTCGCTCTCCACCAACCATCTGGCTGCCGTCCGCAGTGTCTCCATTGGTTATCTTTCTAGCACCATCCAAAAAAGATTTCCGAGGTTACACCGTTCAACGAAAATGGCATTGATTATTCAAAATTAATAAAACCAATAGAACAAAAAGATTTTGATAATAAAATAACTGAATCCAGATCCACTACAACTGTTAATGTTTATGATTCTGAACTACTTCGAGAGGTAGAGATACGCTTAAACCCAGAAGTTGTTAACCGTTTTAAGATTGCTGAATCAGCGGCCCAACTAGAAGAAAAATATCTAGCTAATTGAAGCTACAGTCAAATCAGATGGAGCATTGGTCCTAATCCCATCACAGAATAGCAATTCTAGTTCGCCAAAACCTGGCCCATCATCATCCAAGGACAACGATTCTGAGAAAATAGACTATTATTTAGCAGTAAGTTCACTCCAAGAAAAAACACCACTTAAGAACAAAGTAGTAAACAGAACTCCTTCTAATATCCCAATAAAAGATGATTCAATAGTTCATTCTGATAAAAAAAGACAAGTACAAAATTTTAACAGATTTAAGCAGATTACAACAACATCAGAGAATAATAGTAAATATCCAACACCTTTCAAAAAAAGCACTATTTTCTCCGGAAAGCTCTGCAAGGAAAAAAATAATAGCACAGAAGACACCAACGAAAGGAAAAACCAAAGATTTATCCTACAGTAGCTATAAGTGATGAATTTATGAAACATCAACGAAGACTCAAAAAAGAAAAAGAGGAAAAAGAAAATAAGAAATGTGAACGAATCCGAAAGAGAAAGGAAAAAACAGAGATCCAACAAGCAAAAAAGAAAAATTGTCTTCCAAAACACACACCAGGTATAGATACTGGTAATAATAATAGGGAAAACATAAATAAAATGAATATAGAAATATGTTCAAAAGACGATTTTGTGTTGGTGCAGTACGACAATTAATATGTCCCTGGTATAGTTCTGGAACGATGTAATGATACTTTGAGAGTTAAAAGTATTACTATGAATGGAAAGTACTGGAAATGGTCAGTTAGAGATGACATTTTAAATTATGACTTTGATGATGTAGTTTGTAAGATTGCGAGACCTTTGCTCATAAATAAACTATGAAGTTCCTATGAAGTTCCAGAAATTAAAAACCTAAAAAAATAAAGTCTTCTTTTTTATTATTTAATTCATTTGCAGGTATTAAGTTCTTTTCAAAACTTTGTACTTAAATAAAACTTATTTTTAAATTATCTGTTTTGTTCTTTGTTGTTTTTTGGCCATTTTTTTTTGCAAATTTACTTAAAAATTATTCTTAAAGGGTTTTTTGTCATAACTAAGTAAATAGGACGGATAACGGCACCCTTGTGGACGGTATTGGGAAAAAATCATTCATGTGGACGGAAAATGGCTATTTGTGAAATGTTTGCATTTGGTTTCTTAAATAAGCAATTTTGTTGAAATAATTAGTATTATTATTATAAATTTGGGTCTAGTAAAAATTAATAATGCATAATAGCTTATAGACATGTATTACTTTAAATTTCAATGATTTGGAATTGATCTTTAAAACAATTTTATATATACCACTTATAACCGGTAGGAATTCGGTTCTCTTATGTTATTTGTACCATGAAAGAAAGATGATCTCCTTACCATTCAGCTTTCAAATGATTTTAGAGAGGAGTTGGTATCTACAACTTAGGATATCAGATTACTGCCGCTACTAGTGTACAATATAAAAAAACGATTACTACCACTACTACTGTACAATATCGAAAAAAAGAGAAATTTAGCTATACCGCTATTGCTGTTGTCGACTATGTTAACTTTTAAACTGAATATAATTTTTTATATTGTTTTTTTATATGTTGGCTTAGTTTTTACGTTTTTATATTATTGTTATCTAATATATTTAATGGTAACTAACAACAAAATGATAACATACAAATAAAGTATACAGGGTGAGTCAAGCTCAACGGTACGAAGCCTACCGGGGAAATGGCAGAAGATATTAAAAATTCCTTTTTTAGGAATACGTAGGTGAGTACCGGCTACAAATTAAAATTTGTGAGATATATACAGGGTGTCCAATTTGGCGTAATGATATAAACTTATACTTTTTTAAATGGAATAACCTATATTTCACTTTAATTTTGAATTCTACTGAACAAAATAATGTTACTTTATTCAACATTCCCTATACCTAGTTTTGACCGGTTTCGATTTATTTAGGATTTTTTGAAAATGTACTATTCGCGAAATTAATTAATTACACAATATCGCATCAATTATAATTAACGCCTTTTTGTCAATTAATTTTCACGTGTTCATGCTTTACATCAGACTAATTACCAATTGAAATTAATCTACAGAGTGTTAGTTCTGAAATTAATTAATTTCAAGAATACAGAGTGTTCGCAATACGAAGTGTCAATGCTGTATAATAGTTTGTGTAATTACTTTCTTAACTTAAATGGGACACCCTGTATTTTACTTTAATTTTGAATTCTAATCAAAAAAATAATATTACTTTATTAAACAATCCCTATACCTATCCATAATTTTCGATTAATTTGGGTTTTTTTTGAAAATGCACTATTCTTGAAATTAATTAATTACACTTTATTACATAAAGTTAAACAAAACACACTAGAAAAAAATTAATTTACATTAAATGTTCAAAATGGTGTCCATTTTCTTCAATACATAACCTCACTCTGTGTTCAAAATTTTTGTTTTACTCTTCTTAGCATTTCTGGAGTAACTGTTGCAAACACATTACGAATACGCGTTTTCATGTCTTCAGCGGTTGTAGGTGAAGTTTGATAAACCAAACTTTTAATATATCCCCAAAAAAAAGTCCATTGATGTTAACCCAGGTGATCTAGGGGGCCAATTGACAGCACCACCCCTACCTATCCACTTTCCGGGAAATTTTCTGTCTAAATATTCTCTAACGTTACGCGTGTAATGTGCTGGAACACCGTCTAGCTGCAGAAACATTGTTCTTCTAATATTTAAAGGGATATTTTGCAAAAGTATCCAAAAGTCTCTTCGTAGAAATCTTAAAAACTTTTGTCCATTTAAATGGCCATTAAAAAAATACGGTTCTATCACATGTTCTCCTATTATTCCACCATATACATTAAGGGACCATCGGTTTTGTCGATCAGTATATCTATATTCATGTTGATTTTCCATATTATAATAGTGAAAGTTATGTCGGTTCACGAGTCCATTATTATGGAAAGGAGATTCATCAGTGAACAAAATTTTATCAAAAAAATGTTGATCTGCTCCCGTTTTGTCTAGAAACCATAAACAAAATTCTAACCTACGTTCAAAATCAGTTCCATACAAATGCTGATGCATTTGAATATGGTATGGGTGATATTGATATTTTTTAAGAATTCTGCATATACTAGTTTGGCTTACTTCAATCTCCCTGGCCATCGTCCTTGTACTTGTATTTGGATTTTCAATAACTGATTGAATAACTTCTAATTCGGTATTTTCATCTTCAGTTATCGGATTTATTAATTTTCGTTTAGTATAAACAACAATGCCAGTTTCACGAAACCTTGATAAGACTCTGTCAAATACTTCTTTACGAGGATGACGTTTTAAGGGAAATCTCTCAGCATAGACTCTTGATGCTAACAAACTGTTTTGATCACATTCACCCAGTATTAAAATCATATTTACTCGGTCTTCAATTGAATAATCTGCCATTTCTATTTAATTGAAAGCAATACAGTTAATAGTTTGACAATTAGGTTGACAGCTAGGTACCTTTTATTTATTCATGGCATTCTTTATAATAACGAGCTATGTAATTAATGACATTTAATGTTCCAGGTAACATAAGGCAAATAGATTTGAAGATACTAGATATTAATATAAAATTTTATAATAGTTTGATTATAATAATTGTTACAACATTCAAATACAGGGTTTTTGTTTAAGTTAGAGTAGAACTTTATGTAATAAAGTGATAAAAATTAATTAATTTCAAGAATACATAGTGCATTTTCAAAAAAACGCAAATAAATCGAAAATTCTCAAAGATAGGTATAGGGATTGTTTAATAAAGTAATATTATTTTTTAATTAGAATTCAAAATTAAAGTAAAATACAGGGTGTCCCATTTAAGTTAAGAAAGTAATTATACAAAATATGGTACAGCATTGACACTTCAGATTGCGAACACTCTGTAGATTAGTTTCAAATGGTAATTATTCTGATGTAAAGCATGGGCACTTGACAATTAACTGACAAAAAGGCGTTAATTAAAATGCATGCGATATTGTGTAATTAATTAATTTCGCGAATAGTACATTTTCAGAAAAACCCAAATAAATCGAAACCGGTCAAAAATAGGTATAGGGAATGTTGAATAAAGTAACATTATTTTGTTCAGTAGAATTCAAAATTAAAGTGAAATACATGTTGTTCCATTTAAAAAATAATATAAGTTTATATCATTACGCCAAATTGGGACACCCTGTATATATCTCACAAATTTTAATTTGTAGCCGGTACTAACCTACGTATTCCTGCAAAAGAAATTTTTAATATCTTTAGCCGTTTCCCCGGTAGGCTCCGTCCCGTTGAGCGTGACTCACCCTGTATAACATAAAATAGTTGTGGTATTCAGTGAGAATATGATTAAAAACTAATTAAGTTAATAAACACTTTACCTGTAGCATGCTGTTACAATATGAATTGGGGAGAGTGGCTTCGAGTCCAGAAAATCCCGTTTTATTGTAATGATCGAATTGAAAATCATCAGTACCAAGCTTATTGTACTTGACATCGACTTTCCGATATCTTTTGGGAATAGCTATAAAAGTTCCATTATCTTCGTTGTGTTTTGGACTTCGATTCAACTGAGCATAATTATTGGAGATGCCATTTTGAGCAAAATCGTAGGGTACCTAAAACATTATATTATAATTTACCTCAAACATTCTTAAAAAATTCATTTACCTACTCTGCGCGACCAAAAAATATTGTAACTTGTAAAAAAGTAGAATCATGTTTTGCTATATAGTCTTTTAAAAATAAATCTAATAGTAACCATCATCCGGGCGCGTGGCAGCAATTTGATTTAAAATAATTTTACAGAATGGCGGCCATTCACCCCTTTCTGAGAACTGGAACATTTATAATATCTATGAACAGAAGTGTTCAATCAATGCGAAAATTTGTATTGATTATATTGATATGAAACTAGATGTAAAAGAGGTTTAGAAATAGTCTGTATCATCAATCAAGTAATGTTTATTAAAAGAATGATTAAATCAGAAAATAAATAAAATGTCTGAGATAGACATAACAATTTATTGCATGCATTACTAGCTACCACTATTTATAAACCTGTAAACTGTTACAATTTCTAACAATTCAAACTTTAAGATATTTCAATGACAGAATGATACTCCAAATGTATGAATAATACTCTTAGACCAAGGAACTAACGATTTTCCCATGAAACTCGTTGATGCAATTACCTAACAACTGCTTTTAATAAATTTGGTGATAACAATATGTAGTAAACAAAATATGCAAAAGATTTAAACATCATTTTTTACTTATAAACAATGTAAGATCAGTAAATTATATGGAAGAGTGACACGATTTTGATGAAAATGCATAGAAAACCCTTTAAAATGTTGGTTTGTTAAGTTATTTTTGATAATTAAAAAAAAAACTTTTGAGTTCGCTTGAAAATACGAACAATATCACAAATATTCAGCTTTAACAATTTCAAGAAGTTTCACTCAATAGTTATTGCAAAATTGAAATTGTTTACCCGAAAAATTTTTACCTACAATGTTATTTTGAAGTAAAAGGATTATTTTATCAAATTAAATAATTAAACGATTAAAAAGTTTATAATAAATATTGTAAAATGGTTTGCAAAAGTACTGTGTAAACTTATAAACAATTAAAATAACTCAGGTGCAATAACATGTATGAAGTTAATTGTTTTTTAAGTCATTTTTACACGAATTCAAAATAATATATAATATCCTACGACCCTTAAAACCTGAATTAAATCTTTTTTACATTCACCGGGGCTTTGTTTATAAAACAAAAAATTTAAAAAGAGACATTTAAAAAATAAAGAGTTTAGACAAAAAAAATTAAGAACGATTCCTTTAAAAATGAGTCAGTCAATGATGCGCCATTGCCATGCGATAAAGGGTTTAGTAGCAAAGCAATTTTACTATTTCAAAAACTGAATTCATAAATTCAAATTTATAAAAGTCGCAATATCTCCGGTTTTAATCAATGAAAATTGATGTTTTCTTTCAATTTGGGTTAGCTCGAAGCAAAGATCATAACAATTTATTTTGCAACATTTTATTTCCTCTTATTATTAGTAGTAGAAAAATTATGAAATGATCTTCTTCTTACGGTGCCTATCCGTTCCGGATGTTGGCGATCAACATGGCTATCCCAACTTTTGCTTGCTGCTATTCTGAATAGTCCGGTTGTCGATGTATTAAGCCACTTTCTCAGGTTTTGAAGCCAAGATATTCTTCTTCTCCCTGGTCCTCTCTTTCCAAATACCTTGCCCTGAAGAATGAGTTGCAACAAGCCGTATCTCTGTAGATTCCTCATAACATGGCCAAGATATTCTAGTTTGCGCTCTTTGATGGTGTTAATAATCTCGCATTCCTTGCCTCTTCTACATAGGACCTCAACATTAGTCACACGATCCACCCATGCAATTTTTAAGATACGTCTGTAAGACCACATCTCGAATGCTTCGAGTTTTCTTAAGGAAGCTTCGGAAAGTGTCCAGGCCTCTACTCCGTATAATAAGGTAGAAAATACATAGCATCTAATGAGAGAGATTTGGGTAGCAAGTGGTAAATCATGACTTCTGAAAAGAGACTTTATCATTATGAACGCTGATCTCGCTTTTCCTATGCGTTGTTTTATTTCACTGGAGTGATCCCATTGGCTGTTAATGTTGGTACCAAGGTATCTGTAGCTGTCCACTCTGTCAATTGGATGTTGGTTAACCAAAAGCTGTGTATTTAATATTTCGCGCTTACTGACTACCATGTACTTTGTTTTCTTCGTATTAAAATCAAGTCCGTGTTCTCTACTTATATGTGATATATGCGACATTATTCTTTGCAAACCGTCCAGACTATCTGCAAAAACTACTACGTCGTCGGCATATCTAATATGATAGGTAATGAAATGATAGGTAACTAAATATGTATGTATTATAGTTATAAATCATTCTTTTAACAAAAAATTTTACAAAAAATTAATCTTTTATTTTGAAAATCAAATCTGTACGTGTTAATTTTTCTTGAATTAGGTTATACTTATTATTTTTAAAATGTCTTGTTCACAAAAACAATACAAATATATTTTATACAAATTAATTGTTATCAACTTGAATAAATTCGTCTTCTTCAGTACCTTATCCGGTCCGGATGTTGGAGATCATCAAGGCTATCGTGGATTTGTTGACTGCTCTACAAAACAGCTCCACGGAGGTCATCCCAAACCATTATCGGAGGTTTTTTAACCACGAGATACGACGGCGTCCCGGTCCTCTCCTGCCAAATACTTTACCCTGCATAACGAGTTAAAGAATTCGATATTTTTTTTCGTTCCGCATCACGTGCCCGAGGTACTCAAGTTTACGTTGTTTCCCTAAATTAAGCACTTCTTTTTCTTTTCTCATGTACTGTAGGACCTCAACGTTGGTGACATGGTGCACATACGATATTTTTAGTATCGTTCTGTAGATTCACATCTCGAAGGCTTCAATCCGCTTTTCTGTGGCTTAGGGTCCAGGCTTCAACTCCATATAGTAATACTGGAAGAATGCATCACCTCACTATCCGCATCTTGATTCCCAAACTGAGATCACTGCAGTACAGCAAAGATCTCAACTTGATAAATGTAGACCGTGCCATTTCAATACGGGATCTAATCTCTTGAGCGTAGTCCCATTGTGAGTTGAGAGTAGTTCCGAGGTAAGTGAATCTGTCGACTCTCTGGATCTCCTCGCTACCTGCCATTAATGCCCTGGATCTAAATTTGCGCGGCTGACAACCATGAATTTAGTTTTCTTATTATTAAGCTCTAGTCCGTATGTTACGCTCACAGTTCTCACTCGGTCTAGTAAAGCTTGTAGATCATTTGAGCTGGTTGCTAGTAACATAGTGTCATCGGCGTAGCGAATATTATTGATATATTCACCATTTACTCGAATTCCCATCTCTAGATTTTTGAGGGTTTCAGTAAACATTTCCTCAGAGTATATATTCAAAAGAGTCGGCGAGAGCACACAGCGTTGCCTTAAATAAATATCAATAAAAATTATGGAATTAATCTGTATATATAATTAATTTGTTCAAAATATATTTGTAATATTTTTCAGTAAAGAAAAGTAATTGTAAAAATAGTAAGCACAATTAAAGAAAAATTAAAACGTACAGATTTGATTTTCAAAATAATTTTTTTTGGTAAAATGTATTGTTAAAATTACTCTGGTAAATAAACAATTCACAAATTAAATAATTGAATTTTATAACCTATGCAACGAGCTACCCCAAACTGAAAAAAGCATCAATATTCATTTGATTAGAACATAAGATATTGCGACTTTTATAAAGACTTTTATAAATTTGAATTTATGAATTCAATACACAGAAAGTATACATCAAAGCAAATGGAAAAACCCCAGAACAGTGTTTGGTATAGAAAGAATATTATGAGGAAAAAACTGATACCAAAGTAATAAATCAAGACAATGCAATAAATGAAAGCGAAGAAAACAGAGCTAGAGCAAATAAGCAGAAAAGAAGTAATAGAAGGATTATCAATCATAAAAATAGGCAAGGCAGGTGGAGATGATGAAATTAAATCGAAAATGGTAAAATACATGGGATAAGAAGGTATAAACTGGCTATGGAAAATATATAAAGAGGCGTGGGAAAAACAAACAATCCCTAAAGACTGACAGAACAACATCATCGTGCCAATATAGAAAAAAGGAGAAAATGTACACTGCGACAACTATAAAGCAAGTCTGTCATCGGTATGCTTTAAAATACATATGAAAATATTAGAGATATTAGAGAAGAGACTAAGCCAAGATCCTCCTCCTAAGTGCCTTCTCTATTGAGGTTGGCGATCAATATGGCAAATTTCTCTCTGTTCTGGGCTTGATTGATTAAGTCATTTCCTGTTGTGTGAGTCCAATCTCTGATGTTTCGGAGCCAGGATTTCTTCTTTCTTCCTATACCCCTTTTACCCTAGATTTTGCCTTCTAATATTACCTGGAGCTGCTCAAATTCCTTATGGCGCATTATGTGTCCTAGATATGACGTCTTTCTAATTTTGATTGTATTAACCAGATGAGGTCGTGTGTTCATTATTTCCAGTACCTCTTTATTTGTAGTTTTGCTGGTCCAGCTTATTCGTAGCATTTCAGTTTGTTGACGTCATACAGTTTTAATGTCCAGGTCTCAAAGCCATATAGTAGTAGAGACCACACATAACACTTTAGTGTTCTTAACCTTATTGTGATTGATAGCTTGGGGTTACAGAGCATTTTACGCATGTTCATGAAGCCAGATCTTGCTATTTCAATACGTCTTCTAATTTCTTTTGAGTGGTCTAGCTGACTGTTTAGCTCTCTGCCCAGGTATATGAAGCTTTGGGAGCTGGGAAGGGTGATACCATTGATTTGTATGTTGGGTGTAATTTGTTCATGGGGGTTCTTGTGGAATACCATGATTTTGGTTTTGGAAAGATTAATATCCAAACCTAGTCTGTGACTTTCTTCTGATAGTATGTTCATCAATATTTTTAGTTGGTCTTCTGTTTCTGCTAATACTACGGTGTCATCAGCATATCTTACATTGTTAATGATGATTCCATTGACTCTGGCACC